ACCGTTGGTGAATCTCGGGCCTCGTGATGGTGGTTGGCCGCCGGTGGTCTCCGCGAGGTGCTGATGGCTGCTGCAGATCTCGAGACTTCTTCGTCGGTGGCAGCTTCGATGGTGGTGGTGGTTGTTGGCTTGCCGGAGCCTATGCGGGATGATGTGCGGCTGAGGTGGTGTGGGAGCTTGGGTGAAGACCTCGTCTCAGCTTTGTGTTGTGCCGAGTGATGGCGGCGGCTATGACCATCATTGACCTTCTTGTAGGCATAACTATTTTGCTGTCACACCCCTCCCACGCGGATCGGGCCATCACGACCACTCTGGGCGAAACCCTTGATCTTGTGTGATTGTGGCGACACTTTGGTGTCGTATTCCTCCCGGGCGCTTCGTCTTAGAAGTTCGGCATTGGCAAGCAGGACCGTGGATGACGAGGTTGTGGCTTCCAGGCTTCTGTGGAACGATGATGGCAGGAGCGATGTCAACGACGCAACAATGTTTGCGGTAGTCGGCACTTCTTCGACTTGTCCGTGGGATTGCCTCGATTTGTTTGTCGCCGTGAAGTCGAAGTTACGGCGGCGGGTCCATGCGGTGTGCCTGGTTTGTCCTTCGCAGTTCTTCGTCAAGTTTGGAGTTGCATTGTCTAGTTGCCACAATTACATTTTACGAGAAACCTGAAAATAATTACTTTCAATTTTTTCCCACTGAATATGTGTTGCATGTACAGTATTTTTTATATAAATTCTTTTATCAGGTAGTATCAAGAACCATTTCACCTCTAAGCAAAAAAAAAAAGAGGAACCATTTCAACCCCCGCCATTATTTTCCTCTTGCCACTTACCAAATTTTACGGCCCATCTTCTATCGGCCACGTGCCCACGTCCTCCCATCCCTCGCCCCTTTTCCCTCTGAAACCTCCCACGCCGCATCTTCTCTTCTCGCTTCCCTGCTGCCATGCGCCAACCCCGCCGTCACCCGTCGATCCGGCTGCGGCGCTGCGCACTTCCACCCTCGTTGCCCTCCCTGGTCCAGCAACGTCACCTGCTCCCTTCAACTCCCGTCTCGATCTTCATGGCCCTTAGATCTAGCAGCCCTCGGCCACGACGCTGCCGGATCTGGCCGGCTTGGCCTCGTCGCCCCAACCGATAGGTGCTCGACGCCGCTCCTCAGGATTCAGGAACGCAGCGGTCTTCTTCGTCAGCTCTATATCCCTCCACCTCCTACGCCATGTATCGGCCATCTGCCCTTTCTTGAAGCTCCTCCTCATCCAAGTGGCCACCTGATGTTGCCGAGTGGACCACGCTCACTCGCGCCTTCGCCCACCAGTACCAGGTTTGGTCGCCACTTCCTTTGCGCAATTCGTCGAGCAGGTCATCTGTGTGGCGTATGTGTGCTGTTGTAATGGATGGCTTGTTTTCTGGTGGTTGGGGTGCAGGATTTTCTCGTGTCTTTCAACTTTCAAGTTGAATACCCGGGAGATGGAGGAGAATAGATGGTGCCATGGCGGGCTGCTATGGTGGTGAGGTTCACGTTCTACAGTGAGGCCATGGCCATCGTTGTTTGCATGTATGTTTAGGCAGAGTATATTTTTTGTTTGTATGATTGCTGAAAAACAAAGGCAAGCCTATTAGTTTGGAAAATAAAGTCAAGCCTATGTGTTGAAAGATAGTTCGATAAGTAGCCATTTGGCGCCAGTGAGGTGAGATAGCTACCTTATGTTGATGCATGTATGTTTGATCAAGGCTAGCTAGTTGCAGCAGTTGGAACTAGTACTAGTACATAAGAGAAGAGACATTGTGTCAGCATGTGCAATCAGGATTGGGATGTATACTTCATACTATTGTATAACTTAACTAGTAGTCCCTGTCAGACAACTAATTTACATTGAAGAGGTCCTCCATTCATGTATTAGTACGTACACTCCTTGTTCTTTTTCCTTCAGTTTTGGTCTGTAGATGTACTTGCAAGTTTTTTCATCTTGCTTTTGCTTTTCTTTTCAGTATGTTGTACTCTCTCCATCTCAAAATAAATGTCTCAACTTTGTACTAACATTAGTACAAAGTTATACTAACCTTGAGACACTTATTTTAGGACGGAGGGAGTATTTCTGTAATATTTAGCTCCTGTTCCTAAAGCTGATGCATCCACTGGCATGTTAACATCATCTCCTGTGTGTTCTTTCTCAATGATGTAGAGTAGGGTAGAGCAGGGGTTCTTACTTATTGTTCTTATACACGCTGTGTTATCATGCAGGTGGCAGTTGGGCCTATCTGAAGAGCAATAATGTAATGCTTTTGAGCTTAGGCAAATGAAGTTGTATTTAAAAGCGGACGAGATGATGTTTGTCAACACGAAACTGAAAAGGTTGGTCCATCATCTCTTAGCCATACATCCCATCTAGTTATGCGCCAATTTAGTTCTAGACAACATGCGCATGGAGAAACATCTATGCGAAAATACATGTATCTTCATCACTACCATTGAGTTCTGAACTTCTGATAAGAACACTGCCCTGTCAATCGACTTCCTTGTTTTGCGACCTTCCTTTTTTTATTTGAGATCTTGTGTCTGAGGCACACTGACCACTTGGCCAGCGTACAATGCCTTTGAAGACCATGCTACATGTAACTTGCTTTGGGACCTTCTCTTTTTTTTAGCTGATTTCTTAGCTTACCACATTGCCTAGGTGGTACTACTGTACTATATATATATAATGTATGCACCTGCTTGTGCCCTATTTTCCTAGATGTGGCTCATAACTGAGATATCTATCTATGGACTAGCTATTTTCTTTACACTAAATCTATCTTAATTAAGGTGCGAGGGGTAAAATTTTGTTGAACTCATATAGGATTTT